AGTAGCTTGAGCCCCTGGTTAGTAACCATGGCGGCCACCAACGCCTATCCTAGACCTTGTCCCGATTGTGAAATGGCCAGCAGCCCTAGTTACCCAGGCATCTTCAACAGTCAGGGCTGGCTTTTTCACATTCACCGCAACTTTGGAGGTGCCGGTTGAGTTGACCAGGGTGAGTCCCAGAATTCGCTGAGTGCCTTTAGTTTGTCTTTCCTCATAGCTGAGGCCTCACCTACTGGATTCACACAGAGCCCAGGAGCCACACAAGAAAATCCTCCGCTTGATGGCAGTGTTGCCTCAGAAAGTCCAACGTTTCTGGCCTCTGCATGTCCCTCCACCTTTCGTGGATGAAAAAAATAATCAAAGAAAGTCCAAAAGCCATGTAAACCCTAGAAGTGAGATTTCTTTCGTAGTGGATTTCTGGGGGGAAGTCTGTTCTTTACTTTGGGACATTCCGGGGTAGAATTAATTCCATTAAATAGAATGGATGTTCCCACCTCTATGTTGCTGCATCATCTCTTTATATACAGTTTACAGTCCAGATATCGTATTAATTGGTCTCCAGTTTCTGGGTACACTTAGGCAGCCTAGGGCAGAATTGTTGCTTTTATGGGGCCCTTGATTCACAGCTTCAGGTGGGATGCTTACCTAGAGTTTCTCCTTGTACATTGGGGTCAGTGTGCCTCTTCTGCCCTTGCCCATCCTAAACCTACTCAATGCCAGTGACCCTCAACCAGCAGCCTCATTCAGCTGACATTCTCAGAACCAGGCATGAAGGTGGCCATTGTGTGTGTGGCAGCAATAGACAGGGGCCATGTCAGGTGAACATACGGGGAGGAGGATGCCCTTACTCACACCTCCATGGTCCTAGGCTAGTCATTCCTCATGCAGGTCCCACAAGCTGCACATAACTCATTAGTTACCAAACAAACGATAGTCAGGTGTCCTCTAATAGTACCAGAGAAGCAAAGTAACTCTTGGTACCTCTAAAAGGCAAGGAGACCACAGCTGCAGACTTGAGCATAGAAACCTGCCTATGGCTCGTGGTGCTACACAAGGAAAACAGAGCACCTATGGGTCAGTTGTACCTTTTCCATGTTCCTCAGGAATAAATAAAGTAATTTTGAAGCAAATAAAAACAGAATGTTAGAGGAACCACATTGTTTTTGCTGGTCAAAATAATAAGTGAATGAATAAATAAATTTTTTTTAGTTATGCTGAAGCAAATACAAAACAATGAATTTTAGAGGAACCAGATCAGAGATATGAAATTTTCCAAAAATGGCAACAGAACAAAATGGTGGGTTCTAGGTGGTTAGAAGTCCTAAACCCAAAAGGGAATTCCAGGTTGTCTGAGGGATGCTCTGAGTGTCATACGGGTTGTGAAGAAATGTCAGCCTGGAGCCAGTCCCTTAGTGTAAACTTTAAATCGTGTGGAGAGAACCAGATTACAAATAGCCTGTTAGGCTTTAAGCACCTCCACAATGGCTTGAGATACACAGTAGACACATGTTTATATGAGCCCAAGTTCCTGAATACATGTAGAGATGAAGAAAAAGAGACTTTGGCATAAATATACCTCATTGGAGTGGATATTTCTACTCCAGCCCCACCTCGCTGTGACAATTACACATGTTCTGTGGCTGGTAAAAAAAATTAAAGAAAAAGAACACAACCTAAAAATATGATCGAAGGACAGTAAGGGAAAGAAAAATGGTTTATATTAGCTAGGGCTTAGGATGGATTCACTTGGCTGATATATAGTTCCAGAAGCCTAGAAGGTGCGTCGCAAAACTGGTTGTTAAGGAGACTAGTTTTACAATCAAGAGAAAGGCAAGAAAAAAGAAAGTTACAGGTTCTGTGGCAAGAATTCACTGTGATTCCTTTAAAGTAACCCAGGCAGCTCCTTGTCTATACCTTACTCCTTCCATGGCTAACTTGATTCACATTGCAGTACAGGAAGGCTGGGGTCACATGCTAACCATCTGCAGGTCAGCTTGTTTCTGCAGGTGTGGGTATGAGCAGTGTCTCAGGCTCAGGCCTTCCATAGGCCTTTGACATTGCAAGGGCCCTTGCATTCTAGAGACTCCCTGGCTGTGTTTCTTGCTCATACACATGTATGTGTTTTCTTCTCAGAGCCTTCTGGATGAAGTAGCTGAGCTGTGGACCCTGGGTCCTGTGCAAGGAGAACAGTGTCTTTTTTGAGCAATCTGGTGTTCTTCCTGACTGGCGTAAGTGTGGGACCCTATGTTCCCAGACAGGAGGGAAACTTAAGAGGAGCCAGGCCCTCAGGTGCTGCTATTTAGGGGAGCGGTTTCTCGTTACTCCTTACTCCCTCCCTAGTGCCTCTGGGCCTCTGCACCTTGAGTCTAGCTGGCTGAGAAATCCATGTCAATTCTTTGTAAGAATGCCAACTCTGAAGGTTTCCTGGTGGGCAATTCGTAGGTTTGATCCAACTCTGCGCCATATATGCAGCTTTTCCTATGGATTCTCAAGTTATAATGCTAAAGATACAGCTGTGGGTGGATATATTTAGGTGTGTTCTCAGCCGGCTTCATACAGATCCATTTCTCCTTGTCACAACAAATCCACAGAGCCCCTTACAGGTTGAAGGACCAAGTGTGATAGAATGGTTTTCACTCCAGTGTAGACTAGTCAGCATGATTTGTCTGTAAGGAATGGTCAAGGGCAAGAATGTGGGGATAGGAGTGTTGAAAGAGCTAGAGTGGCATTTCAGATACAAGATCGGCATAACATGGGCATTCTTTCTAACTCTATGACCTCACTTCCTTCTTGCAAATAACTGGAGAACAGAGGAAATGCAGCAGTTGCAGTCTGCAGCAGGATGAAGGAAGGGGCCCAAATGAGACAAGACCTTAAGCAGGTCTGAAGGAAGCATGGGTCCAGATGTTATCTGGGTGTATATGCTCAAGTCAAGAAGCGGAACTAGGCAGATAACCAAAATGGCTGGTGGGTCTAGCGCAAGATCACAGGCTCCAGTACCTTTTAGCAGCTGTATATGGTCAAGAATAGCAGAACCTCACGAAGGCTGGCTAAGACCTTTCAGAAATGAGGTCCAACAGGGCTAAATATCCCATTCTGCATAGCCTTTCCTCAAAGAGATCAAGAAGTTGAGTCGCCATATTGCAGCCCGATTGGCCAAAGCTTAGCATGCCTTCTTCAGCAATGGGCTGAGGGAGTGGACCTACAAAGAAGGTAGTAGTGCATCTGTTGTGCAACACTGCCATCAAGCGGAAGTTATTTCCCAATACCGCAAAAAAACGTTCCTTCTGACTTCCTGGAGAGGAGTGGCTTAGGGGAGAATCTATGTCCAAGCAACACCAGAGGGAGAACCCTGGAGGATCCAGAGCTATGGGAGTCACGGGACAACTCCTGAATACATGTAGAGATGAAGAAAAAGAGACTTTGGCATAAATATACCTCATTGGAGTGGATATTTCTACTCCAGCCCCACCTCGCTGTGACAATTACACATGTTCTGTGGCTGGTAAAAAAAATTAAAGAAAAAGAACACAACCTAAAAATATGTTCAAAGGACAGTAAGGGAAAGAAAAATGGTTTATATTAGCTAGGGCTTAGGATGGATTCACTTGGCTGATATATAGTTCCAGAAGCCTAGAAGGTGCGTCGCAAAACTGGTTGTTAAGGAGACTAGTTTTACAATCAAGAGAAAGGCAAGAAAAAAGAAAGTTACAGGTTCTGTGGCAAGAATTCACTGTGATTCCTTTAAAGTAACCCAGGCAGCTCCTTGTCTATACCTTACTCCTTCCATGGCTAACTTGATTCACGTTGCAGTACAGGAAGGCTGGGGTCACATCCTAACCATCTGCAGGTCAGCTTGTTTCTGCAGGTGTGGGTATGAGCAGTGTCTCAGGCTCAGGCCTTCCATAGGCCTTTGACATTGCAAGGGCCCTTGCATTCTAGAGACTCCCTGGCTGTGTTTCTTGCTCATACACATGTATGTGTTTTCTTCTCAGAGCCTTCTGGATGAAGTAGCTGAGCTGTGGACCCTGGGTCCTGTGCAAGGAGAACAGTGTCTTTTTTGAGCAATCTGGTGTTCTTCCTGACTGGCGTAAGTGTGGGACCCTATGTTCCCAGACAGGAGGGAAACTTAAGAGGAGCCAGGCCCTCAGGTGCTGCTATTTAGGGGAGCGGTTTCTCGTTACTCCTTACTCCCTCCCTAGTGCCTCTGGGCCTCTGCACCTTGAGTCTAGCTGGCTGAGAAATCCATGTCAATTCTTTGTAAGAATGCCAACTCTGAAGGTTTCCTGGTGGGCAATTCATAGGTTTGATCCAACTCTGCGCCATATATGCAGTTTTTCCTATGGATTCTCAAGTTATAATGCTAAAGATACAGCTGTGGGTGGATATATTTAGGTGTTTTCTCAGCCGGCTTCATACAGATCCATTTCTCCTTGTCACAACAAATCCACAGAGCCCCTTACAGGATGAAGGACCAGGTGTGATAAAATATTTTTCGCTCCAGTGGTCACTAGTCAGCATGATTTGTCTAAAAAGAATGGTAAAGGGCAAGAACTTGGGGGTAGCAGTGTTGAAAGACATAGAATGGCGTTTCAGATACAAGATCGCCATAACATAGACCTTCTTTCTAACTCTTTGACCTCACTTCCCTCTTGCAAATAACTAGAGAAAAGAGGAAATGGAGTAGAAGCAGAGTCTGCAGCAGGATGAAGGATGGGCCCCCAATGAGACAAGAACTCCAACAGGCCTGAAGGAAGAATGAGTCAAGATGATTTCAAGGTGTATATGCCCCAGAGTCAAGGAGCAGAACCAGGCAGATAGCCAGAATGACTGGTAGGTCTGGCACAAGATCCCAGGCTCAAGTACCTGTTGGGGACTGTATGTGGCCAAGAATAGCAGAACCTCACGAAGGCTGGCTAAGACCTTTCAGAAATGAGGTCCAACAGGGCTAAGTATCCCATTCTGCATAGCCTTTCCTCAAAGAGATCAAGAAGTTGAGTCGCCATATTGCAGCCCGATTGGCCAAAGCTTAGCATGCCTTCTTCAGCAATGGGCTGAGGGAGTGGACCTACAAAGAAGGTAGTAGTGCATCTGTTGTGCAACACTGCCATCAAGCGGAAGTTATTTCCCAATACCGCAAAAAAACGTTCCTTCTGACTTCCTGGAGAGGAGTGGCTTAGGGGAGAATCTATGTCCAAGCAACACCAGAGGGAGAACCCTGGAGGATCCAGAGCTATGGGAGTCACGGGACAACCTTACCAGAGTCCTTGTCAGGCCACTTATATCCCACAGTGTGAAAGCAGACCTGGAAGGATAGCCACAGTGCCTGGTGAAACAAGAAATCCTTTGTTTTCAGTTTGTAGTCGGCCATATTGGGACAGAATAGTAAAAGTCTTTGTAAAAGTGTACAGCTCCAGCATCCTGAGACTTTTGCCATTGCTTCTTTGCATGTAGTTGGCAACAATCACTTTTCGTCTCTTCTCCATTTGTCTGTGATTTCTTGTAGTCTGTCAGGGACCTGTCTGTGTCAATTTACCAGTCCACAGTAGGTGACAGAGACCTGTCTTTAACTCTCATTAGACTAACCACATACATGAAGTAAGTAATCATTCAGTTTCCATTCTAGACTTATTTGTGACCATTTAGTGAATCCCCAAAATATAACAGTAACATGCAGGAATGGCCTTTGCTTTCTATTTGTGTCTGTTCCTTGTAGCCTCAATCTCATGCTGGCCCAGGGACCTCAGAATTAAGACAGAGATAGTAGACTTTCCCTAATATTTAAAGCTCTTGGATTTTAGACCCTCTTCCTTCTCTTCATCAATTTTTTTCTGTGTGCCAAATCTAGCCTACTAATTCCTTGTATTGCCCATATTCAGGCCTTCATGAAGCCTTCTAAGGCCCAGATGAAAATACATATCCCTAGACATATGAACATAGGGCTAAAGGTCGTCTCTCCCTACACTATGTCTAAAGAACCTCTTATTTGGGTCTTGGCCTCTGCCAGCTGTTTCTTGCCAGGGCTGTGCTCCGTGGTCAGACCTCACCCAGGGGTGTAGTAGGAAGGGTCAAGACCCAGCTATCTATCACTTTTGCTTCACACTCCTGGCTCAGTCCTGAAAATCACTCCCTGCTCCACTTCATTCACACTATTCATGAGGTTTCCATGGTATTTCCAAGTGGTCTGAAGTAAGAAGTTTTGGGGGTACTGATTGGCTGAACGTTTTTGCCAAACCTCTGCTCCACATACTTCAGAATTCCCTAACCTCTTCCCCCAAACATTTGATTCCATGTATTTTCCCCAAGAAAGTGGAACAGGTCTCATGAACACAGGCCAGGTAACAGGGAAATGCTGGAGTGTTCTGTAAAGTTAGTTCATGTGGGAACAGCAGTTTGTGTAATGGCTATGTCTCTGGACTCCCATGTAGTCGAGCACAGTTCAAGTCCCGGACCCGGTGGCTTAAACTCAGGCCGGGAGTGTGTGTGTGTGTGTGCTCAAGATCCCGCGAGGAGAATGGAAGAGAAGGGATTGCAGCATGGCCAAACCCCTGGGGGATGATTTCTCACTGTCTGTCTCTCTGTCTCACTCTGTCTTTCTGGCGAGCTCATGCGCCCTATAGCAAAAACCTCTCCAAAAAAATAAATAAAGTTAGTTCATGTGCTAAATAGACCCATGTTCCCTGATTCCAGAGGATGATGTCTGCTCAACTTATCAATCTACTGTGGGTGTCAGCACTGCATGTCCTTAGCAAGAAAATAAGTGGGATGTCATCTTATAGGGACTGTGACCTATATACTTCCTCTGACAGGAATGAAAGTAAAGCAAACACTACTTTCATATCTAATGCACTTGGACTACTCTTCCTTGCCTAGAACCTGATTATTGGGAAATTCTCCATTTATTCTACTGGAAGGTGCCCAGTGCCACTTCCACTAAACCTGGCAGTGCCTGACCCTCCAGATGAGATGTTGGGCCCTGAGTCTCCCAGGTTCCTAAGACCCCCAGAATAGACCCCTGGCTCCACTTAATGGTAGACCATGCTTCTTCCCCAAGGGAAAGGATCAAGAGGTTACATGCCCTGTGGTAGCTTCAGTTCCTGATTGCCAAACATGGCGGCCACTGAGGGCTGACTATGTGCTACCACAGCCATCATGTGTCAGTCCTGGCAGACCTATGAACCCAGGGCTCTTGATGGGCTGACCTAAGTGGTCTGTCACTTTCACACTGACATCCCCAGTGGAATGACCGTAGTCAACAACAGAATTACACACACTTTCTCATATCAGAAGGCTTTCAAAACAGGTACACATACAGACTGATATCTATGCTCAGAAATCTGCCCCTTGATGGATGGCACTGTGTCTCTAGCAATTAACCTTTTTGGACTCTTCAGATTTCCCTCCACCTTTTATGGGTGCAAAAACAAACAAACAAACAAGGAACACTCTAAAACTATCCCACCTAGGAGAGTGGGGTTTACATTGCTGGGATGCTGGGCAATGTACTGTCCTAAGTTTGGCACTTAGGGGGGAGTATAAACACATATTCCAAACCATCGAAAGGAACAGACCTTCCCACGTATTTGTTGCTACATGATCTGTGCATGAGTTTTCAATGCAAATATCATGATAATATTCCCTAGTTTTCTGGACATACTTTTTAATATTATATGGGTTGGGTAGTCTGAGGTGAAACTGTAAGTTTCATGGGGACCTTGAAAATAGCTTGAGGTGAAATGAGTGCCTGGATTTTCCCTGCTTACCTTTGTGTCAGCGACCTCCTCTGTCCTCACCTGACTTCAGCTCAATCCCAGTAACTTCAGTTTAGCAGCCACATTTAGCTTCAGGTGTCCCGAGCAGGAGGACATTGTTTGGGTGTGGCAACAATAGGGGGGAAGAGCATGTCAGGTGAGCCCATTAGGAGAATTATGCCCTCAGGGGTTTCAACTACTCATACCTTAATAGTGTCCCAGGTTTTACCCCTAACTTACAAATTGTGATTCAAATGAAAGTCTGGTATCTACCCATAGTACAAAAATAACTCTTGGCACCCGTAAAAGCCAAAAGCAACAGAGCTTTAGACCTGATTTAAAATATTTTTAATTGAAAAACAAAGAAGAAACACCCATGATTTTTGAGTTCCACAAGGGAAACAGAGGACCTTAGTAGGTGAGTGCTTCCTTTTCCACGTTCCTCATGGACAAAAGAGGTGGACGGGCAGAAGCAAATAAAAGAAGCTTTAGAGGAATCAGAATGGGAGATCTGAAGTTTTCCAAAAGAGGAAAGGCCATGTCATGTAACTCTTAGACGGTCATGGATGAAACTGCATTCCACATGGCTGAACAGGGTTTGAGTTTCAGCACATCAGAATTAAAACAAGTCCGGCCTGAATGCAGAGCACTGCATCCTGACAAGATAGAGGTTTGGAGGAAGGAGCATTGTGATATGACCAGGTATTTTGGGGGTTTGATCTCTCTGTCTCCGTTATGTGAACATGCACATTCCCTTTGGCCTAAAAATAGTACGTTTCGAAAGGAGCCAATGTAATTTTAGTTAGCACAGTTCGAAAGGAAAGGACTCAGTCCGTGGAAAGCTTCCATGGAATAACAGAGGCCTCAATTAGTATGTATGGAATATAACTCTACCACAAACAAAGTCTGTGCATGCTCCAGAGACAGAACAGGACCCGGTAGTCAGCCACAGTGCCCGGAGGTCTGGCAGCATGCCCAATCACTGGAGACTGGTAACAGGCGTATCTGGGCAGGACTAGGGAAAAACCAAGTCCCAGGGCCCTGGGTGTTCTTGACATCCTTTTTCCTAAGAACATTGGGCGGGTTGGCCTAGGTGGGCCCACTAAGAGCATCCTTTGTCCATGGTACATCCGAGTCAAAGAATACCCTCATTTTGCAAGGTCTGGGTCCACTGGTGGCGAGGTGGGTGGGACCAGATATTGTTATGTGAGTGCTTGGAGAATCAGGTGATTGTAAGCTGGTCTGCGTCTGTTCCTTTGATGAATTCCATCTTGGAAACCATTCACAAGAGTCCTAGGAACATGAGAGAATGTGCACCAATGGAATGTGCTTACTCTTGAATCCTGGCCCTACAGATTTCAGCCCCATGTTGGCTTTGGTGGTTGGGAATCAGGAAGGCAATAGGAGTTTGTAACTAAACCTCACCACTCTTGGCTTTAGACCTTCTTTACTTCCTTTCCAATTTCTTTGCCTGTGTGCTAGGTCTAGCCAGCTTCCTCCCTCTTTCCTCCAGTTCTGTCAACATTTTAGGCATATCTTCCAAGGCTAAAAAGTCACTACCTGCACCTAAGTGCATCCTCATGGACACTGAGACCACAGGGCTGGCGCCTGAATCTCCCAAGACCCACACCTGGAGAATCTCTGGATCCTAGGTCTAGCCGGCTTCCTTCCCTCTTTCCCCTAGCTCTATCAACATTTTAGGCATGTCTTCGGAGGCTAAAAAGTCACTAAGTGCATCCTCATGGACACTGAGACCACAGGGCTGGCGCCTGAATCTCCCAAGACCCACACCTGGAGAATCTCTGGTCTGGGTTCTGCCCTTTGCAGGTTTTTGCTGCTAGGTTTGCTCCCAGGTCAGAGTTGGCAGCATGGTCCATAGCAGGTATCAAAGCCCAGCTGTCCCCCTCTTTCCATTCACACTCCTTGATGGGGGCTGACAAGCTCTCCCTGTCCCATGCCATTTCAAACTATTCATTAGATTTCCCAAGTTTTCCCAGTGGTCTCCTGTGGGTGGAGCTTCTTGGGGATGACCAACTGAACTTTCCCTTTGCCAAACACAAAAGCAAACTGTGAGCCATTACGTTCTCATGAGTCCTCAGCCCAAGGCTGCAAGCTTGGTAAACTCAATGTGGTCCTTCAAACTT